ATCCAGTTACATTTTCTTATGTCTGTCTTATATATCATTTTGTAGCCCGTGAAATTCTCTATCGAATGATATATAACGTAGAGTGGTTTACACACTGTTTAATTCATGTCTAAGGTCAAAACCGTTTACACACGGTGGCGAAGAATGATGATGGCATGTGGGTACTAGAATGAGGGTGGAAAGCTCGGTAAAATTATAAAACTACTGAGTTTCATTCGCTGAACACGAATATATTGTTTTTCTCACAAAATAAAATATATAGAGGGCGAAAAATGCATTATCTCGGATATAAGTCATTTTTCACCTCATATTGTTGGTTCACTAGAAATTTTTCCTAAACTTTTTTTTGGTTGAATGATATCTCATTCAACGCGTCATCAATCAAAGAACATTTAGTGAAAAAATCTCGACGCAGACGCAAAACTAGGGTATTACTTAACCGGAAATACTAGTTTTTCGGTATATGCACTTTTTCGAAGTTTTGACCCTAGGAAAGCAAAATTAAATCGTAATGACCCTCGCCTTTCAGCACTAAATCTGTATTTGATCCTCTATCAAACAAACTATCAACCGACTCTGTAGCCCTTTTCATGACAAAATTACAGCGATAATACTGAAAAGTACGAAAATGATCACGTGTAATGGGTCCCAAAGTTCAGACGTCCGGCGCTCTGTACCGAAGGGTTTTCAAAAAGAATTTTTAATAGTGACGAAATCGTATACGCTCTTTCAGAATCTGTGATCAAAAACGAATTTTGAAATTGAGGAGATGAAAAGTATGTCAGAAACACATGGTTTTCTCACGGACTGTCTCTTAAGCGTCTACAAAATGGCTCATTCACTTTTGAGTTTTAACTTTTTGAAAAATTTCTGCAAATTGAACAAAATCACCAGAAATCGTTACGGAAGTGCATACGCAGTAGAGTTACCCAACCAGTTGTTCGAGAGATACTTCGAGTGCTCGAAAATATGGTTTCGATGAGCCTTCGAGGACTCAAGCGCTCGGAAAATGGCACTTCGCACCCGCAATACAATCTTTCTAGGGGTATTTCCCTCGTGGGATTCCGGAGACTTTGGAGCCCTCCTTGCACCCACAGTAAAGCGAGGGCTCGGAAGTCCCGAACTTCTATATTGGACGGCTCGAAATTTTTTTCGAGTGCTCGCTATCTATCTAAAATCTGAGGGGTCGAAATCGATACTCTACATCATGGGAAGAAGAATTAGCGAGAAGAAAGCTGTCTGCATACTTGTTTTGAATTGTAATACTATTTCTTATAATATAATTTAGTAAAGCTAATAATAATCGTATGCATGAATGGTTATTGCGTGCAAACGGTTATTTTTAGTATTATCTATGTTTACGGAAGGACTTAATTAATCATGCGTGGACGAAACGTACTTTTCTGAATAGGATCAAAAGCCGAGATTCTAAAGTAGAGCAGTAGCTGTAATAATAGAAGCTTTCTTCATGAACAATAAAAGTCCTGTGTGAAAATTCGACAAAACTCAATTGGTATTCTTATCCACGAATCCGGTAGGGAAAATTCAATAAAAAACTAAAGGTCTTCATTGTTTTATCGACTCGGTATTGTCAACCGGGATAAAATCTGTAAGAAAAGGTGATCTCTTATTAGGACTTGCTATTTCAAAATTAAAAACTGATATACTAAACTTTAAATTCCTAAACTGTTCTTTTAAAATAATCCTTATTCGTGTTCTACATACGCACGGTTGTTGTTTTGCAAGACTTTTTAATCCTGACTTCTTGCAAAAAGTATTTTCTTTGCTATTTTGCGGTGAAGACCACCAATTTTCAGTACTTCTGCTACACATAGCTATTTTTTGATATGCTTGTCGGATAGAGCACCGTTCGAAACGTTGAGCATCTGAGTTTAAGCTGAATTGGCTCGCAAAAACAGACTCTTTTTCCACACCTCTGTTACGTAGCGTTTGATATTTCTGTACAACAGTTGTATTTCCTAATAAAACTAGGATCTAGTTTTATCAGGCATTTCACCTGTTGTACATGACTGAGGACTTCACTAATTTAGAAAGAAAACTAGTACACGTGATTTGTAAGCCACAAAATCTTTTCCGAAAGTAGAGTTCTGAGCGGCTCTTTAAAGAACTCGCTTAATTCTCAAAATCTTAAAGTTGCAGTGTACTTGTTCTTTTGTTTGATTAGATAGTCTCCTCATCATAATAGCAGTTAAGCGACCTCTTCATTTTTCATGAGTTATGGTGGCATCTAATTTGCTGAGAGTCCTAAAACTGACGTCGGTTGACTTTTACAAGCCTCATACAACAATAGAGTACCCTATATTTTGCGGTGACATCAAACGGTGATAATCGCGTAATCATTATTTTTTGTTTATTTTCTTCCATTTCAAGGATGATATTTGACAGAATAATTGCGTATTCAACGATATTCTGTTGTTTGTATTTTATTTTATTTGTATCGAAAATGGGTCAACCAAATATCAGTTATTTGCAAATAATGAAACAATCGAATCCTATTTCCGTATCATCGTTTTGTAAGGAAGATGTTCAGGAAATGAAGGACAACAATCTCCTAAACATACGAAATTTAAATTCAATTGTTTGTCCTGTGCAGAAAGTAGCATCAACAAATATTCTGCGTATTATACTGTTAACAGCAGATAAAAAGTATTTGAAACAAACGAAAGAGCAGAATGATCGTTTACTTAAACGAATTAGTAGTAAGTACATATATACGATGAAACGTCCGTTTTTACAATCTATAAAACTGGGAAAATTGCAGCTGAGGCAACAGTTGAATTTGTTAAATAATACCTCAAGATTTAAATTTCTTTTCGTTCGACATCCATTTCGACGTATAATATCGGCCTATTATGATAAGTTTATATATCCGGAAGAGTTTGAAATTCCGAACTGGACACGAAGAAAACAAATGATGTTGAAAACATTAAAACAAAAGACATTCACCCTAAAAACATTTTTGTTTTATATTGTTTATTCTATTGAACATCGCTTACCATTAGACGGTCATTGGGCGAGAATTGTAACATTTTGCAGTTTTTGTAAAGTAAAATTCAATTGGATCGGCAAATTTGAGAATTTCGGTGAAGATGCAAAAATATTATTAAAATATTTGAAGATAGATAACAAACTCAGTTTTCCGTCTTATAAACTGGATCTAAATCGCACTAAGTTAAAGTTAGACGACAAAACAATGTATAAAATGATTAAATCGATTGGCAAAACCAAATACAACGTACTATTGAACTATTACAAACCGGATTTCGAGACATTCAATTACACGGTTGAAAACTTTTGAACTGACTTTAAAGCGTTTCAAGTAAACGTTTCTTTCCACACTGTCTTGTCATCAATTAGTTTGATTTTATAAATCCTTGTTAGGATGTTCGAATAACTCCATGATGCTTGCTCTACAAGAGACAAGAAAATGTTAATCGTTCTGATTTTCACTTCGTATTATGTCCACATTATGCTAAGGTTGCAGTTGCTTCAAATCGAAACTTCTCCGGTAAGTGTAATTATGAGAATATACAGTTGTAGGCTGCAAGAGAAAATGAAGGATAAAGCGGACAATAAGAACAAAACAGAGAGTGAGGATGTTAAGGACAATACCCATGTCGATTTTTTTTCAAGATTTCGACAGAAATATGTTTATTTTTATACCTTTTTAGGCACTCTTACGCAACGCCAGAAAACGCGTTATTCTTAGATGCGTTTTCTTGCGCAGGACTTTTCATGCAAAAATCCACAAAAAGTGCTTTTTTTATCTGTTGTCAAATCTTTTTTTTTTCGTAATACTGCGTGTGTTTTCTCAGTACAATTTTCGCAGAAAATGTTTGGTTTAATAATGCAAAAATTGACGACCCATTGCGATGGATCATCAGAACTAGTGTATAATTTGTAAAAGCGGAATATGTGCAACCTTATATTTATATAAATGATCCTTTTCGATTAAAAAATTTATTTCGAGATTTCCAAGTGACACCTCTTAGATTGGAAAAGGCAGCGCGATCACAATCTGCTCGTCGTAGAACTGGCGGTGAGTCGCGAGGCTTACCTGTGGGCAGATTCGATGAACCTGTCCGACGATTGTCTGAGAAATACATAAAGTAATACGCTACGATATTACGCTCTATCGTTGTAATTTCAATTAATAATAATATTTAGTATTTTACGCATAAAAATGATGATATTTTCTTGTGTTTTATCGCAAAATTTTTGTTTCTGCAATATAACGCAGAAGAAATTAATGCGTGTGATATTACGTGAGACACGGATTTTTGCAGAAAAAAAAGAGAAGCGAATTTCTGCAATTTTTTGCATTAAATTCCTCGAAAAATTGACATGGGTAAGGACACAACTCTTGCTCGATGAAAATTTAGGTATCTTTCGAGAACTGACACACGTGCCGAATTATTTGTGGGGTACGGGACAGATAGCGTGAGTGTGAGTTTACAAGTACTTTTGATCATAACCGTGCTTAATGAAGTTGTTCAAGCCTTTTGTCGCTATTTTGCTTACCATAGTCCTTACTGTCCCTGTTATCCTGCTTATTCTCTTCGGCCGTAGTAGCTCATCAAGTAAGAGAAGCGGATCCTGATCTTTTGACCTTGCGGCAAACGCAAACTCGTCACAGTGTTATTATATATCACACCTACTGTAGTGCTTCACGAAAACTTTAATAATTTATTAGAAAATTGCTCTTTGTTATCGTCGAGTTGATTCATATTTCCACTGAGAAGTTAACCAAGAAAAAATGTTATTTTTGCTCTAGTTCACCAGTAAAATCGCGGTGAACAATCATTAGTTTAAAATAAATTATTATCGAGCATAGTACTATTGACAGAATAGTGTGCAGAGGCTATTCTTTTCCACATATCTAAACATGCTCCAACCAATACTGTTGATACTGCTGGAGTATTATCTTTTTATTAAATATTAAATCGATTGGCAAAAACAAATACAACTTATTATTGAACCATTACAAATCGGATTTGAAGGCATTTAATTATACGGTTGAAAATTTTTGAGCTGAAGCTTATAGTCAAAAAACATGCGTTCAACTGCAGTTTGCAAACGGTATGATTATATATTATTATTCGAAAAATGTCGTGCAAAGTTGTACCATTAAAAAAGTTACTAATAAAATCGACCTTATACCTATCGATTTTACTAGTAATTTTGTGTTTGATTATACATACAAAGAAACGCTAATTGTTAACCACTGATATACAGTGCACACATTTGTCGCTTTATGATCGTATCATTGGTCTTACATGATTCACAGTTCGTGAAATAGTAGAGATAATAAATGCACTAGAAGTTGCAAAATTGATATATATGTAGAGGGTTGTTGTTTTCATGTAGTTCATTTTTGCTTGTGTGATTATAAACTGCTCTGAGATTTATTAGTTAACGTGACTTCGATTAGAATTTTATTTTTCTATTTTATTTTCCAATTATGTTCTGCTTTTCAGCCACTTTTTTCACATATAAAACCGGAACCCACCAAATAAATATTTATCTTGTGATATAGATAGACTTTTGAAAACATGTCTTTTCTCATTAATGAAACAAAATAAAATAAAAGCCGTATACTATTCCGTTTTACCGCTGTGAATTGGTAGTTCACACTGCCTATTCACAGTCCGTAAACTGTCTTCTAACGATCAAGCTTCCCGTGAAAATTGAATATATGAGAACGCGGTTTATTGGCAATTGAACAACCATTTATTTATGGTAGTAAAATCATATCATCCATACCATCAGAAAACTACCTAAAAATTGTCTAAATGGTTTAAAAACAGGCAGCACACTCGTTGCCAACTGACATTTAACTTGGCAGTTTTCAATGTCCTGGAGAGTTCTTTATTACAATAAAAGTCGAAAAACTATAAAAGACTCGTTTTACCTTTATTTTATCGCTTTTTTTTATTGCTTATTGATTAATATTTTATTTCGGTTAAGTTAACGTTTTATTACTTTTTATCTTGACACCCATTTTTCTAGATTTATCTACACGAGTTATTTTGCTTCTAATTGCAAAAGATACGAGAGTTTCTATCATTTTATTGATTAACTTACAAATCAACGTGGACGTTTCGACTTATCGCAAGTCATTTTCAACACAAAATGAGCAAAAGAAAATTAGGAGAGAGAAGT